AAGTTTGTAAACAACATCACCGTAAAAATCAGGCTGGCTAATCCCTTGTCGCAGAAGTGTTTTTAGATCACTATTGAATTTTGAAATTAAATCAAAGTTACGATTGTAAAATATTTACGTAATTTATAATAGCGGTAGCCCTGTTTTCATAGCTTACCGGTAATGAAAATATTTCGCTCGTTAAAATCCTTTACGTTGCTACAAGCTCTAGCAAATCTAATTAACTGAGATATATAAACTCCGTAAGATGTTGCGTGCGGTACGTCTCCATCCAAATGAGGATAATTTACTATACTAAAATCAAAGTCATCTCTTATATCATAAATTTTCGTGTGAATCGAATTGTTTTTGATAGTGATATGAAGATCCAAAAATGATGTAGTTAAATTTCAAGAATTCGTTTTATTAAGTTGTAGCTCCGTAGGATAAATATTAGACACCATTTGATAAAAAAACGAATTATCTAAATTCAAAATGTCATCAAGATATCACTACTATTAATGCTTCCGAGGGATCACTTTGTTTCCAGAATTTTCTCAAGTTACCGTCCACGCCCCCTTGCACCGGCTTAAGCAGAATTCAACATTTAAACATGAAATAGTAAAATTTTGAATTTAGAAACATCCGCAGATGTGTTCATACGGCGGTTATCATGGAACCTTCAATGTGACACTTCCGTGCCATTCCATGAAAAGCGGCGTATGGTCCCCAAGTAATAAAAAGTGTGTGCCCTAAACGAGAAAACAATTGGCGGAACTAAATAAAATGGAATTTTGAAAGGGGATCAGAGGTTATGAAGCCTGCGTATCACAGATAAGACGTCAAAAGACAAATGTAAAAAGCAGGCAACATATCCTAAGGGTGATTCAACATTATTCAAGTAGGAATATTGGAACCACCCAACTAGAAAATGCCGAAAAGTTGACACTAAAAATACCACAAAATAGATAAATACAGAATCCCTAAAGAAAGTCCAACACGGCAAAATTGAAAATGTTGCAGGCTCGGTTTGAGAATTGAGTACCGCTCAAGCCGGTGCTAGGGGACGTGAGGGATGTTGCACTTATTCATTATCCCTCATGTACAGACTCAATCAAACCGAGTCTGCAATTCTTATATTATTTTGTTGTGATTAATGCTTCCGAGGGATCACTTTGTTTCCAGAATTTTGTACTTCACAACAGCAGGTGTCAAGTGCCGTGTTGCAGCCGTAAAAAGTTGCCCCGTACTTCACTTCAGTGTTGTTATATTTTCTGGTCCTTCGGGATCATTGATGCCAACACTATAAAAAGTGTTGAGAATTGAGTACCGCTCAAGCCGGTGCTAGGGGGCGTGAGGGATGTTGCACTTATTCATTATCCCTCATGTACAGACTCAATCAAACCGAGTTTGCAATTCTTATATTATTTTGTTGTGATTAATGCTTCCGAGGGATCACTTTGTTTCCAGAATTTTGTACTTTAAAACAGCAGGTGCCAAGTGCCGTGTGGCCGCCGTTAGAAGTTGCCCCGTACTTCACTTCAGTGTTGTTATATTTTCTGGTCCTTCGGGATCATTGATGCCAACACTATAAAGTGTTGAGAATTGAGTACCGCTCAAGCCGGTGCTAGGGGGCGTGAGGGATGTTGCACTTATTCATTATCCCTCATGTACAGACTCAATCAAACCGAGTCTGCAATTATTATATTATTTTGTTGTGATTAATGCTTCCGAGGGATCACTTTGTTTCCAGAATTTTGATTGAGTCTGTTCATGGACGGTACTGGAAAGTGCAAGCACAGAAATAATGTCGTGCTGAACGATCCAACGATGTCGAAACCAACACTGGTATTTAACGAAACGGTATATACCGGTAATTTACGACATTACTATTAGTGTCCAAAATATGATAAACAAGATCAACAAGGAAAGGCGGCTTTCAATGAACGCAACCCCCATATGACCCAGCAACAAGAACCAGTGGCAAAAAATATGAAAAACAAGATCAACAAGGACAGGCGGCGTTCAAAGAAATAAAAACTAGAGGCAATGGGGAAGATACTTACCGTAGACGAGAAAACAACAAGGGACACAAGCAAAAGTGTCACCAAAACGGTATGAAACAACATAGACATACATCTGAGGAACACAGTGGGGCGCCGCCTTGGAACGGTCAGCAGCATAATAATGACTGCTGGGGAGTTTAAACCGGTTAATGGTGCACCAAACCTCGCTCTTAGCCCCACCATGTTCCTATAAACGAGACAGTGTAAATAAAATGAATCCCCGCCAAGTGAAATTCTAACAGTTGTCTTGGTTACAAAAGGTCAAATAAGTAAAACACTAAAATGATCATGTAGAAACATATAAAAGTTAACCCAATGACCATAACAAAAGTACTCAATGTCCTTCAGGAAGACAGAGCAACAAGAAAATCACCTACAAGGGCCCGACGAAGCAAGGCAGAAGACGAACATTAAGACAATTCAGTCCCTAAGGGCTTTACGAACTATCCATCATAGAGTTTCCCACTTGGTCCGTCAGATGCAATCAATAGAGGAAAGCGTAGTGTCCAACTGTAAAAGGGTTGAACACTAAACATGCAGTATGTCTTAAAATAGTAGGGTCATAACCTCTTTTAATGAAACGTTTAATAATTTAAGTAAAAACAGCAGAAAAATTACCATGACCCAAAATCTTACGAAGTTTGTAAACCACATCGCCATAAAAACCAGGCTAAAATATTTCCGTAATTTATGATAGCGGTAGCCCGGTTTTAGAAGCTTGCTGGTAATAAAAATATTCCGCTCGTTGAAATCCTTGACGTTGTTACAAGCTCTAGCGAATCTAATTAACTGAGAAACATAAACCCCGTAGGATGTTGCATGGGGTACGTCTCCATTCAAATGTGGATAATTAATTATACAAAAGTCAAAGTCATCTCTTTTATCATAAATTTTCGTGCGAATAGAATTGTTGTTGATAGTAATATGAAGATCCAAAAATGATGTACTAAAATTTCAAGAGTTCGTTTTATTAAGTTGTAGTTCATGCGGATAAATGTCAGACACCATTTGATCAAAATAAGGATTATCTAAATTAAAAATATCATCAAGGTATCTGGAAGTATTATTAAATGCGACTATAACATCTTGTTGTTTCTCTTCACCTGTAGGTAGAATTATAAATGCACTGATAAGAAGTTTTCAAATATTCATACATGCATGGATGAAAGTTTAAAATTTCTGACAATCCTGAATTTCCTAAAATAGAGAAATACAGAATCCCTAAAGAAAGCAAGTGCAAGTTACCGTCCACGCCCCACGGTACTGGAAAGTGCAAAATTACCGTCCACGCCCCCTAGCACCGGCTTAAGCAGAATTACATTGAAACACGATAAATGGTGAAATTTTGAATTTAGAGACATTCGCAGATATGTTCAAACGGCGATTATCATGGAACCTTCAATGTGACACAGTAGTGCCGTGCCATCCCATTAAAAGCTGCGTATGGTCCCCAAATAAAAGAATGTGTTGCCCTAAACGAGGAAACAATGGGCGGAACTAAATAAAATGGAGTTTTGAAAGGGGATCTGAGGTTATGAAGGCTGCGTATCACAGACAAGACGTCAAAAGACAAATTTGAAAAGCTGGCAACATATCCTAAGGGTGATTCAACAGTATTCAAGTAGGAATACTGGAACCACCAAAGTTCAAAAAGGCCAAATAGAAGAAACTTAAAGTACCACATAACATGTATACACAACAATAATGTCGTGCTGAATGATCTTCAAAGATCGGAAATATAACATCATTGATTAAATGTACGGGGAGACTTTTTACAGCCGCCACACGGCACAAATAACACGAATGTGACAATAAAATAGAGAAATACAAAGAAAGGTCTGTTTACGATAGTGATCCCTCTAACTGAGCTTTTTGTACATGACTAGAATAATCATTCAGTAAATCCTGTTTCTCTGACTCAGTAAGTTTGCCGACTGACTGAGTTTATAACTAAATGTCTGACACCTTTGGCATAAATCTGTGGCAAGCCTTGAATTGTTATGTGTGGTTAAAGGTCATCCTATATCTTTTCAATATCCATTTTCAGAGGCACTGGTATTATATAAACTGTGAATATTCTTTTTTATCTGATGGTAAAAGTAATACAGTTTTTAGGTATATTTGGTAGACGGCCAGGTATCGGCAAAGCATTTTCTGTTGCATACTTTGTTATGAATTTCTTGATTTTATTCCTTTGATCAAATGTCAAGCTATTTGGAGATTGTTCTGACTTGTTACCATGAAGACGGGGAACAATTCCGTCTTCGACAAGTGACGGCGATTCGTCATAAAGAATTTTTTGATACATTATGGGCAAAGCAAAATAACGCTCTGCATCTCTGGCGCTATTAAATAACCTCATTAAAATCTACTTTTTGGGAGCATGGAGTGCAATTATATATTTCATTACAGCCACATGATTCAGCCTGAAATTTAGCAACTATCTCGTCCTCTACAATATCTATGCTTCGTTTTACTAAAAATACAGTCTCCTCTATTTCATTACTGTTTACTATGCAATCATCATTTATTTCATTGTCATCATCATCATCACTATAGTCATCATTATTATCACTAACATCATGTTCGTTAATTTCATCATCAGCATTCATAAAATATGATAAACAAGATCAACAAGGAAAAGCAGCATTCAAGGAACGCAACATATAAAACTAGCTTTAAAAAGTTTCACCATAAGAGGGATTAGGAAAATCTTGGTATAGATTACTGACTAGATTGAATATCTGGAAAAAAGTTCATGAATCAAATATGCATCGTATTCGTAAAAAAAAACTCATAAGAAATAGTGCTAGACATCGGAAGCATTTCTGGCTGACTCATTTTAGGACCTTTTTTTTACACAATTACATTTTTTTGTTTGTTTATATAACTCTGCTGTCATTTTTTATGTTGCTATCAACAAACCGTTGTCCAGGAATTTAATTTTGTCATTCTGGGTTAAACTGTTTTCCGATAATTTACATATTTTAGCAAAAATATAATAATAAAAATACTCACCTTGAACGCCGCCTTTCCTTGTTGATCTTATTTATCATATTTTACCCAAAATACCCAGTAAATGTAAGTACATGTATTGTCAAAGCAGACATTGCCAATGAAAGCACCAAATATCGAATCAATTTACTAATTATCGCCATTTCTGGATGGCAAAATATATACATTAAAACGAATTGAACAGTTCTACCTGTACGCATACCTTTAGCCAATCAAAGCGAATCATAAATATTACATGTGCTTACAAGTCATTTGTTATATAGTTAAGCGTTGTTTCTATTTGCAGATATACGGAAAAAATAACGAAAATAATAAAAATGGCGTCAAATAGCTTGGTTTTCTCGATAACGAAACCCGATTTTTTGCATTCCATTTCACATTATCAATAGAATCTTTCCCTCCTCCAACCTCTCTTCTCTTGCTTTTCCATATCGCCCCAGTTCATTCTCTCAGCTGTTTAGCCCACCTGTCACAAAGTGACAGGGTGAGCTTTTGCGATCGCTTTTCGTCCGGCGTCCGTCCGTCGTCCGTAAACTTTTACTTTAAATGACATCTCCTCATAAACCGCTGAGCCAATTTCATCCAAACTTCACAGGAATGTTCCTTTGGTGGTCACCTTTAAAAATTGTTAAAAGAATTTAATTCCATGCAGAACTCTGGTTGCCATGGCAACCGATAGAAAAAACTTAAAATATCTTCTTTTAAAAAACTCAAAGAGGTAGAGCTTAGATATTTGGCATGAAACATCTTCTAGTGAGTGTCTACCAGGTTTGTTCAAATAAAAGCCCTGGGGGGTCAAAATTGGCCCAGCCCCAGGGGGCCATTGATTTTCCCTATATGCATATAGTAAAAACTTCTTTTAGAGAACCCAGAGAGCTAGAGCTAAGATACTTAGCATGAAAGATGTTCTAATGGGTGTCTACCAAATTTGTTCAAATAAGAGCCCTGGGGTTAAAATTGGCCCTGTCCCGGGGGTCATTGATTTTCCGTATATGTGTATTGCAAAAGCTTTTTTTAAAAATCTTCTTTGAAAAACCCAAATAGCTAGAGTTTAGATATTAAGCATGAAACATCTTCCAGTTAGCGTCTTCAAAGTTTGTTCAAATAAAAGCCCTAGGGTCAAAATTGGCCCTGCCCGGGGGACATTAATTTTCCTTACATGTGTATAGCAAAAGCTTAAAAATCTTCTTTGAATAAAAACAAATAGCTAGAGTTTAGATATTAAGCATGAAACACCTTCTAGTGAGTGTCTTCAAAGTTTGTTCAAATAAAAGCCCTGGGGTCAAAACTGGCCCCGCCTTAGGGATGTCATTGCCTTTAACTATATGTGTATAGTAAAAACTTAAAAAATCTTTTTTAAAAAAGTCAACGAGCTAGACCTTAGATGTTTAGCATGAAACATCTTCTAATGGGTGTCTACCAATTTTGTTCAAATAAAAGCCCTGGGGTTTAAACTGGCCTCGTTCTGTGGGCCTATATACAGGTGAGCGACTTCAGGGCCATCATGGCCCTCTTGTTTGAATGTACATTCTCTCCTGTTTTCCCTCTCTTCGATATATTTGGAAAAATTGATTGCCACTACAAGTATGTTACGGTTACCCCCCAGATGTTAAAGGAAATGAACCAGTGTAGTCTATCGCAACCACATCCAATCATACACCATCAATAAAGGATGTCATAGGTGCTCTTGGTAGTTTAGTTGTGCTTTTGATTGTCTGCAGCGCATTTGTCGTACAAGCGCATGTGCCGGTGGTTCTATGTTCCTGTGTCGTGTGGGGGTTGTGTTCATTAAAGAGGCATACCCTATTATTTTGGGTTTTTTAATTAAAACCAAACATAAACAGGACGAATGACTTTAAAAATACTCACAATACCTGAACTTTTCAACCAAATATTCCATATATTAACAAAGATATCAATGAAATACCATTTCCGTTTTATCATCATCATTCGTGAAAAAATTAGATTTTATTCGTCAGCTTTTTATACTCGATAAATTACGGATATTTCCGTACATTTCCGTTTTGTAATCGGTAGATTCAGCAACAGTAAACATTTGACTCAGTAAAATGGTAAGAAAATTTGATTTGCGTTGTGTACAAGCTTTAAAACTTCTAAACTGGGCAGCAGATGGTATCTGAACATCGTTTACCATACAAATAATTTGTATAAATATTCTTTGAGCGTTTAATAATAAAAACTATACGACTTGAGGCTCCTAAGGGGATATTGTTTACGTTTGTTAATGGGAGCTGGATGTTGTTTTTTAAATCTGCCATTTCGTCAAATACTAAATAATATAAGAGGCATCAAAGTAATTCGCAAATCGAACAGTTAGTCAAACTTGTAATATACGTACTCTATATGATGAAAAGTATTTTCTGAAGAAAAAATCTCGCATTTACACATACATGTAGATTCTATTTCTGAATAAAAAATATCGGGTTATTTTAAGCAAAACAAAAAATAGTTTTTAGTGGGACACTTATATTTATAGAAAAATATAGTGTTTGTGATGCTGATCAACAAGTTTTCCAAATGTTATTACAGGCACTGACCCAACACGGGGGAGAATCACGCCGTTCGTTACCCAAACAAACAAGATGGCGGATGCAGCCAAAAAGTAGGTTTTTCCCTTTTTTCTCTGAAATTCGTGATGTTCTAATGTAAAAGTACATATAACAACCTTCTCCACAATTTTCCTGGCACACAGGATTTTATTTCATAAAGTTTTGTCCCGTACTTCATCTGAAATGCGCGTCACCAGATTCGAAGTGAGAGAATTTTCCACCGGTTTGATCGTGGTAACGTACGGCTTTTTCTCTCAAATTCACTGTTTCTTTTACATATTTGTCAATTTACTGAAACCACTGACCTTAAAAAGTTGTAATATGTCGTTATCTAAGCATTCATACCCATTCTGGCTAGAATAACCGCTGAAAATATTAATATCGGGGCATTTTTTGGAAATGATAACGTATGGCGCACAAAATATCAATGATAACGTACGGCGCATTTTTTTCTGATTAATTGATTTTCTATATAATAGAAACGTCATGTTTACAAGACATAACAGGATGTGTAGAACCAAAAAAAGAAACTGAAGTAAATAAGTGTCAAGCTTTATTTGTCATCCAATGAAAGCGCTGTATTTCTTAAAAAGTTCTTTGTGTAAATTTCATAGAAGAACAAAAGTCGATGATATATCAAAGTCCGTTCATAGCAGCCTTCTATTTTTCATAGTGCTTCATAGAACCGCGTTTGTGCAAATGGACAGGTAAAGTGATGAAATAAAGTAAGTCATACAGAAATAAGAAATATTTTCCGGTCGCTATCGCTCCCGTCGAAGTTTCTACTTTCTGTAGAACAAAACGGATGAACACTAACATATACTTCGTAAACACTAGTTTAAGAGTGGCGTAATAATTTTTAAAACCGTTCTTCCATAAGATAATGACGTCATCTAAGCGCATAAGCGGTCTGGCATAAAAGGTTTCAGACGGGTTTTCCGGCATGGATAAAAACATCGAAATCCAAATCCTATTTGAAACTGTATATTTAACACTAGAAACTAATAAGCAAATTCCCATGCTGATACCTGCAATACTTTTTTTAAAAGAAATTATTGTTTTTGTTGGGGCGTTTGTGGAAAAAAAACGTCAGAATATGATAGGCAAATTCTTGCATGTACATGTAATTGTTTTGATCAAATTATGACGTTCCTTTCATTTACAATTATGAAATCCCCAATTGATGCGAAGGGACTTTCATTTTTTAGGATATGTGTATTAACATATGGTAATTGCGTTTATGTATTAAAAATCGAATTATATGCAACACTTTTGCATTAATGGTTCATGTAAAGTATGTTTTTTTGTATTGATGTACATGTATTTGTGCATATGTATATGTTCATTATGCAACTACTTAACAAAATTTCGGCTTGTATTTACTTTATCAATCAAAATTGATCTTCTCCAAACTTTTTCATGATTTTTGATATTATGTTTATATGAACTGTTCGTTATTGGGCATGTTTTATGTCCTCATCGCCTTTAAATCCTATAGATTGGAAAAAATAAAATGACAAACTGTAAGGCTATGTCACGTAAATATATCTGACGTCATAGTAGCACAACGTCACGCTAAATGATAGCGTTTCAATATTAACTGCCCATCAAATAAACAGAAAATTTCTTATTTATTAATAGTAAAAGTACATGAAACGAGTTAGTTACGAGGATATAACACTGGCTGGGGCGACATCAAGGGATGTTTCTGCTAAAAAAAATAGCGAGGCCGTAAGGCGGAGACAATTTTTTGCAGAAACATCCCGAGATGTCGCCCAGCCATTGTTATATCCTCATTACTAACTCGTTTCATATAATCTACTATAACTCTTTTATCGGAATGGCATAACGTTTTCTTTTTTTGTACTAGAAATAAAAAAAAAAAAAACATAAGTAATAAACAAGCAATTATCATAGTATTGCAAGCAATCCATCAGTCCCCTACCGGTTAGAACCCCATCAACATTCTGAAGGGCCATTGGCCATTCACTAATGTTTCAATTTTTTAAGTAAATTTGTTGAAAAAGTTCTTTAAAAGTGATCATAGGAAACAGTTTTTATGAACAGACAGACAGACGGACTGAAGGACACTCTCAAGTTAATATTTGAAACATCCCTGTTACCAAAATATAACATTTTAAAAGCAAAATTCTTAAAGAGGAGATAACTCTTGAATTAAAGATGCAATTTCATAAAAATTTTCAGCTCTTTTTGACTAATCACAAATATTGTTATATTTGCCATGTTTTAAGCCAATTTGTTGCCAAGGCAACTGATATTTTTTCAAAATAGGAAGAACAGATAAGACATGCATAATCTCAAGACTGCTATTTACCCATATGTCAAGTTTCATAAAAATATTTCCAGTACTTTTTGAGTTAAAACTGGATTCAGTTTATGTGTAAAATTTGCCATATTTTCAGTCTATGTGTTGCCATAGCAACCAGAATGTTCAACATAGGAAGAAAAGAAAAAGACGTGCATAATCTTAAGACTACCATCTACCCATATGTCAAGTTTCATAAAGATATTTCCAGTACTTTTTGTGTTATCACTGGATCCAGTTTATGTGTAAAATTTGCCATATTTTCCGCCTATATGTTGCCATAGCAACCAGAAATTTCAAAATAGAAAGAACAGAAAAAGACGTGCATAATCTCAAGACTGCCATCTACCCATATGTCAAGTTTCATAAAAATATTTCCAGTACTTTTTGCGTTATCACTGGATCCAGTTTATGTGTAAAATTTGCCATATTTTCAGCCTATTTGTTGCCATAGCAACCAGAATTTTCAACATAGGAAGAAAAGAAAAAGACGTGCATAATCTCCATACTGCCATCTATCCATATACCAAGTTTCATAAAGATATTTCCAGTACTTTTCAAGTTATCGCGGGATCCAGTTTTGTGGACGGACGGACTGACGGACTGACAGACAGACGGACGGACGGACAGATGGACGGACAGACGGACGGAGGGTAAACCTAAAGTCCCCTCCGGTAAACCGGTAGGGGACTAATAAATAAATCGTTGGCTACATTATAGTTATTTATGATAAGGCAGTTTTTTCAATTTGTTTTGGCTTCCGCAAAAAAAGATATACAAAAGACATCCAATGTTAGAGGCGAATTGTAAACTGTTACCAATATTGATTCAAGATTAAGTGAAAATAATTCATTCATCGGATGTATCTTTTGATTAATTTAGAGCAAATTTCAAAACATTAATTATCTTTGTTTAATTTTTTCATTGTATTTATTTTTATTTTATTGATTCCACTTTTGGAGCCTTTGTGAAAAAACTACATTGATATATACAAGGTGCGAAAAATCTCAAACACTATATAGCAGTCGATTTTTTTCCTATATGAATCAATAAAAAATCTGTACTGCTATATATCAATACAGTTTTCAAATGCTCATTGAAGTGCACTGAGTATAAAGGGTTAGTAAGAACAAAGGAAAAGTTCCAAACCATGCGGTAACTAAATTCATTGAAGTTTTTCGGATAACATCATTTTCTAACTAATTCAATAAAATCAATATAGAACCTATACTCATTCATTATTTTCTGATATTTATTTTTCTTTCATTGAGCGACCAGATTGAATAAACACAGACTCATCTCAAGCTAGTCGCAATCACTTTTCATTTTGTTTATGTTTGACGTGGTTCAGATATTAAGATTTCCTTATCAGAAATGTGTTAGAAATTATTTAAGACTTTTTCTTTGGAAAAGAAAATATATCAAGCCGTCCGTACCTTTTTAACATTTTTGCTCTGCTGAATGCGTTTCTTCTTTCTGATAAGGGGATAAGACCATGATTATCGCACAACACTGGTGAAATTTAATGTGAAGACGACACTACACAAATGTTTCCTGAAAGTGGAGGCTTTTCTTTCCATTCTGCATTTTATACAAAATATTTCCAAACTATATACACGTGTGTTAACAACGAATATGTATTATGCCACCAGCTAGAAAGATATTTATACCCGATGGTGCAGCATTGTTCAATTAATTATTTCTGACCTGACCAACATTATTTTCAGATATATATCATTTCCTACATAAAAAATAATTCATTATCAGCTGATTGGGCAAATGGAAATCCACCAAGTATAGTAAAATGCGCCGTACGTTATCATTGATATTTTGTGCGCCATACGTTATCATTTCCGGAAAATGCCACGATATTAATATTTACAGCAGTAAATCTAGCCAGAATGGGCATGATTGCTTACTTGACAACATATTAAAACTTTTTAGAGTCAGTGGTTTCAGTTAATATACATATATGTAAAAGAAACAGTGAATTTGAGAGAAAAAGCCGTACGTTACCACGATCAAACCGGTGGAAAATTCTCTCACTTCGAATCTGGTGACGCGCATTTCAGATGAAGTACGGGACGAAACATCATGAAATAAAATCCTGTGTGCCAGAAAAATTGTGGAGAAGGTTGTTATATGTACCTTTACATTAGATTATCACGAATTTCAGAGACAAAAGGGAAAAACCTACTTTTTGGCTGCATCCGCCATCTTGTTTGTTTGGGTAACGAAAGGCGTGATTCTCCCCCGTGGACCAATATATCAGACATTACCAGCTTGTGGCAGCCCCAGCTTGTTATAGTTTATGTTGGTCAGGCCTTGCCAAGAAGTAATAATATATCAAAGCAACATCATATTTATAGGACTATTACAGGCACTACATATGATAAATATGCAGATCCCCATCATATAAATACAGTAAACTTCGCTTATAACGAACTCATCGGGACATTCAAAATCTGTTCCTTATATCCGGAGTTCTTTATAAGCATATAGCGAATTAGTTCCTTGTATCAGGAGTTTTTATAGCGAACAGATTTACATATAACAAACTGATTGTTTACCATCGTCCGCCATTATGAAGAGCATTTGATTAAGAAAAAATGGTCATATTTTTCCATTTTAGACACACTACCCAAAAGCGTACTTTTTTGGAATTTGAAAATCCTTTACTATTTCAGTTTTAGATTAACTCCTTTTTTCAATTTCTTATAAAATATCATATTTTCTTTCTAAACTCAATGCTTTTCGTTTTCTTTCCATGAATAAGTATAAACAGAGTTGTTTTTTTCCATCCTTTTACATTGAATATCTTCTATTATATTTTCAGGGTGACTTTACTAATGAATGATATAGATTTCTTTGCGTACTTTGTAGTTTTCAAAGGATTATGCTTGCAAGCATGCGTGATTATGCTGAAAACTGATTATAAATGATCATAATTATTTTACTCGAGCAAAACTATTAAAGAAAAGAAATGATACAATAAAAGGAATAACCGTTTTATCCTGGTGACAAGAACTCATGCTAAAAATATCCTAAAAATGAAACTAGTACGTACTGCTAGAAAAATTCATTTTAATACATGTATTGAAGTACATACAACAATGAACGGTACATTCGGCCGAGTTTTAATCCATGTCAATGAAAACGAAAGTTGAAAATGCGGTATATATTTACGGATGGCCGATATTTTGGAGTTCGTTATAAAAGTGTAATTTTCTGTACTTTTAACGAAAATGGGACTAAGAAATGAGTTCCTTATAAGCGATAATTCCTTATAACCGTGTTCGCTATAACCGTATATTTTTATATTAAATAAAGAAGGGCAAAATTCGGGCCAAAATAAATTGTTCCTTATAACCGAAAGTTCGCTATAACCGTGTTCTCTATAAGTGAAGTTTACTGTAATCCTAAAATCATTTTTCATTACATTAACAAAGAAGTAGATCTATTTTAAACAATTTCAACAGCTTTTTTGGGCGTAGCTGAAATACTAGGATAAATCTAGCTGTGCAGTGGTTTTATATTGTTAAACTGCTATTCCTTTAAAATAATTATGATAGTTTGAAATGTATAAAAACGGTTTTGACTTTTTTAATAGGATACAGAGTCCAATACAAGCAGTGCATCAGGTCATAGTCTCAGGGGTGTATTTGGAGGTGGCGTTAGAGGAACAGGTCGTGGAAGGGGAGGTGGACGAGTTGGAAGGAGGGGGGGACGTGGTGGAAGGAGAGGTGGAAGAAGAGGATCTATTGGTGGAAGGGGTCAAGTTGCTCAAGGGTCAGGTACAGGTCAAGTTGCAAGAGGGCGAGGTGCAGGTCAAGGTGCAAGAGGTCGAGGTGCAGAAAGTCAAGCAGGGCGTGGTGTTGTGAGGCCAGCTGAAACGGAAGATGAGAGGAAAGAGAGAGTGAAGGTATGAAAAGAATAAAAAAAATTGTTTTTCTTCAGGAAAATCTTCACTGAGATTTCATTTAACAGTGAGAAACAGTTCTTGGAATCTTTGTATTAATTTACATTGAAGACTGAAAATGCTATGAAAAAAAGATAATTCCTGATGATAGTTATTTTGATATTATATAATAATATATATATATAATGGAAAATTAATTTACGGGTACTGATTTTATTTTTGGTTAAATACTCTGCTTTTACATGTAATTAATACTTCAGGGACTCGTGGAAAGTTTGGGAGGAGATGCAGCAAAGGAAATTCTTTGTATGGCAGTAGACCGCCAGCCAGGTCTTATTTTAGACATTCTGGACAGGATAGAGCCAGCCCAACCTGCAGGATTTCATCCCCAACCAGGAAGTCCAAGTCCTTCATGGTGCTGTTGCAGTAAGTGCAGGGACATGCCAACAGTGGAAGAAAGGGTGTGTTGTGGATACACTCCAGAGTATTGTTTAAGTCAATTGCCAGTAAGTAACTAATTTCAAAAGTAACTGAAAAACATTATGAAAAGAATTCTAGATGAACAAATAAAGTTACATGTTTATCAAATGGTTTTATGCACATACTGGATGTAAATAAACATTAGAGCGGTTACATAAACACCTTTGGTAGTTCCAAGACGCTGCAAAGACAGGGTTTACTACATTTATTTTCTATAAAACAAATTACTTTCTATATCACTTTTTGTAAACCAAATCATAAAATTTATTTAATTTCAAAACTGACATTTTGATTTTGTGAAATGAATGAGCAATATTTGTTTCAGGACATAGAACAATACATCCTAGATGAAGGAGTCCTTTTTTTTGGCACGACTCTATCGTAGGGAGATATTGGTTTATCCGGATGAACGCGACCTATGTAAAGCAAATAGACATGCAGCATACCGGCAGTTCACATTGTGGAGGCATGGGCGACTCGGGGAAGGTGTTCGGATGGTAATCCCATCATGTTGTGTGTGGACAATTAGGGACCGCTACCCTGACCCATATGCACAATACACAGGATTCAAAGCATCACGTTTAAGTTAAATTAGTTGCACATATACTGAACCAAAAAAGAAACTTTCGCAAAGTATGTGCCAGTTGTTCAAGGGTACCACTTAGATGTACACACATATATACATGTAGTAGTTTGTAAAACTCGTTTTGTTTGCAAAATCGGTCCAGCTAATCCCGTATAAAAGCCCGATAATGTTTATTCAACGTAAAAATCGAGTTCCCC